TAAAAAATACATCCTTTATTTCATCAATCTTTTCATCTTTTATTATCTCATTTTGAATTATTCTCATTTTTATCTTCTTTCATTTTATATTCTCAACTTTCAACTTTTATTCTTTTCACCTTCTTCTACTTCCTAATTTCACTTTTTTCTTTTATATCATTCTTTCTCTTCATTTTTCTCTTATTTCCTTTTTTCGTAGCTGAATGTATTAATATATAAAATAAAATATAAATAATAAGAATATAAAACTAATAAAATATGATAAATATAATAATAAAGAGATAATATGATGATATATAATACAATAATAAAAATAAATATAATAATAAAATATATAAATATATAATAATAACATAATAATAAAAATGTACAATTACATTGAATCAAATTTCTTTTCTGAATTATTTATACTTCAGAACAAATGATCATAAAATGATATAAAATATAAAGAAATATAAATGAATATAGAATGTATATATAATTTATATTTATATTTTTTATTTTTATTTTAAGAACAAAATAATAAAAATTATTATTTTATTTATTCAAATTATTTTACCCAGAACAAAGTATTTTAAACATCAATTATTTAAATATTCATTATTTAAGTTATTATCTGATTTTAATGAGTATTAAAATTATTCTTTATTTTCTTATTTTAAGGAGAATATATAATTAATACTGTATTGCTATTGACTAATATTCTTTTTAGAATCAACCACTAAACCCTTTTCTTTTGATAATCTTTCTTATATTATCAAATAATACTTGTATTTTAACAAGTAATAATAACATCTTTATAAATCCCATTCGTTTATTATCAATGATATCCTGTCATTGTACATAATAAAAACTGGTATTCTTGAAGTACTGGGTAAGATGTTTTTCTAACCAAATTCAACGTCATAACCAGTCCATAACTGTTAGATTTGAATAATGATAATATTTTAGGATTCTATGTTGTATATCTGACGTGTTATCTTCGAATCTGATAATGAATAAAATATAAAATAAAATGAAATATTTAATAATTATAATTTATTAAAAATAAAAATAAATAACATTTTATTTTATTTCTTATTATTTATTGTTTTTCATAACAAATATCAATTAATAAAAATAGAATGATGATAAAAGAATAAAAAAGAAGAAATTAAAATATAAAAATAAAAGAACTAATAAAAACAACTAATAAATAATAAATCAATAATGAAATAGGATATAATGAAATAATGATAACATCAATGTATTTTAATGATATTAAAGATTTTATTAATTTAGAAATAGGAATTAAAAGATTTCAAGGAAATATTGAACGATTTCATTTTAATCCAATTACATTAAATGAATATTCAAGAAAGTTCTTTCCTAATATTGAAACATTTCATATTTATAAATATAATGATAAAATATTTAATGATGGAAGAATATTTAAAAAAGTAATATGGTATTTAGTAAGTTATTCAAAATATTTAAAAGAAAAAGAACAAGGAAATATCTGTAAAAATATAAAATATACAAAATCAGATAGAAAATCATATGGAAATACAATACCACTAGAAGTTAAATCACTTGGATATGAATGTTTTTATGAATGTTCATCATTAACAACAATTAATATACCAACATCAATTACTAAATTAGGAGATTGTTGTTTTAATAGATGTTCATCATTAACAACAATTAAAATACCATCATCTGTTAGTGAAATAGGAGATGGTTGTTTTTATGAATGTAAGTCATTAACTAGTATGAATATAGACAATCTACAATATATTAGTAAAGAAAGAATATTTATGAATGAACCAGTGTTAGTTCGTATTAAAATACCAGAAAATCTACAAACAATCAATGGAAAGAATATTGAAAAGAAAGATATTAATGAATTTATTATTCCATCTTCAATTACTAAATTAGGAAAATGTTGTTTTTATGAATGTCCAACACTGACATCTATTAATATACCATCATCAATTAGTAAATTAGGATATGAATGTTTTGATGGATGTTCATCATTAAAATCAATTAAAATACCATCATCAATTAATAAAATAGGATTTAATTGTTTTAATGAATGTTCATCATTAACATCAATTAATATACCATCATCAATTAATGAATTAGGAAATTATTGTTTTTATAAATGTTCATCATTAAAATCAATTAATATATCATCATCAATTACATCATTTGGAGATGGATGTTTTTATGGTTGTGGATGTGAAGAAGAATTAAAGAAAAATAAAAGAATACCAAGAAATTGTTTTGATAGAGGGTGGTAAATGAAATAAAAATATAATAAATGAAATACAATATAATTTAAAGTAGAAATAAATTATAATTGATTATCATTTATATTATTATTATTCTTTTCTTATTTATTCATTTTGATATTATTCTTTTCTTTTTTATTGATTGATATATCATTCTTTATATTTGTTTTATAATTCTTTTTTTATTCTTTATTTCTTTTTATTCTTATATTCTTATTCTTATTTTTATCTTTCTTTTTTTATTTTATTTCTTTATATCTTTTATTTTATTTTTGATTCGAATGTTGTATGTCAGATACACAACACAAATCACTAATATGTCCCTTGTTTCGATTCACCTAGTTATCTTCTGGTTATGATGTGCCTTTGGTGAGATAACATACCACACAATAATAATTGATTATTATGGAGGTATTATCAATAACGATTATTGTTTATTATGATATAAGATTATTTATTTATTATGATAGTATTATTATTATTATTTATTATGATACATTATATTTATCATTGATAATTTTGAATTGAATACATGATGTGTTATCAATAAAGATTATTTAAACAATGTTGATGATAAATGAGATAAACCATAATCATAATGTTATTGATATGTCAAACATAAAATAACAATATAAATAATGAATAATTTTAATATTTATTTATTTCAAAATAAAAATCAAATAACAAATTAAATGATGAAATATTTAAATTGATAATGATTGAAAAACAATAAATGAATAAAAATAAAATATGAAGAATAATTGAAATAATCAATTCTCAATATGATGAAAACATAATCAGAATTTATTTTTATTTGCCATCATTTATTTGATTTTTTTTTCAATAAAATTAAATAACATAACAATTTCCACCAATAAAAATTAATTAAATATTTAAAAAGCATCATTTCTAAAAATGGTAACATCATTCTTCATTATAAAAGATCTTCATATCCCACTTGTGAACCATTAACAATGGAAAAACCAGAATTTAATGAGAATTTCCACAATAATAACTCAGAAGAAGTGCAACATCCAGAGCAACAACAATCTTCAGAACAAACTGATGAAAACCCAATAGATATATCAGTAGTACCTGATACTTGTAATGAAGAAAGTACTCAAAGCGTAGATGAAGTTCAAGCTAATATAAGTGAGGTTCAAAATGATATCAATAAAAAACTTCAAGAACTTTGCCATCCGCCAGAAGATATTTCTCAAACCAATGCTTCAAAAATAAAAGAAGGATATTTAAACCTTGTCAAAAAGTTAAATGGATTAGTTATTGAATATAATAAAAAGACTAATGGAATGACAGATGGAACTGAAAAAAGAAAAGGGGTTATTGTTGTTGCTGATCCAAATGAAAGATTTGTTAATATATTTAATGGTAAACCATCAGAGTCATTCTCAGATACTCTTCGTAGTTATAATATCATATTTCCACATATCGAGTATTGTAAAATACTAAATTCATCAATGAATACATACAAACAACTTTTTGGACAGAAAGATTTTGGTATATTTTGTGTTACTAAGTATGGAAATGTTTTTGGTATATTCTTTCATTCTGTTAAAATACTTAGAAACCAAACCTTTGTTTGTAATAAATCTGCTTTATTCATTATAAGAAGAAATGGAATGAAAGAATATATTCCAATTGTAAGTAAAAGAGAAAGTGATATTTATATTGTATTTGGGAATGATACTACTGAAGATGATTTATTGATAACAATTACTAATAATAATGGATATGGAATACAATTTTATAATAACACAGTTAGTATTATTGGTGATATTCGAAATGTATTTAATGAAATAGAATATAATGGTATGTTATTAAATATAAATGATAACAATGAATATCAAGAAGAATTAAATGAATTAAACATTATGAAAATTCATTCAGATGATGATGATTAATTTACTAATTGAAATGATTTAAAATAACAACAAAATGGTTATTATTTTTAATTTACTAAAAATGTTTTAAATGATTAAAACAATAATAAACTCATATAAAATATCATTATTTGTATTAATTTAAACTATATCATTTATTCATTATATTATTTATATACTTTCATTATCATTATATTTATTTATTCATTATTTATATTACTACATCATTTTCTATCAACTTCTTTTTATTTTTCTTTTTTGAATTTTATGTTGATTGTTTTTAACATTATATATATTATTATCATTTTATATTGATTATATTGTATTTATTATACTAATAATTCATTCAAATGATTATGTTCAAACATATGATTCAATGTTTATTTCATTTAATTTGTTAAATTACAAAACAACATATTTTAAAGATTATTAATAACATTCAATTTTGATGATTAAACAATAAAATAAAAGAAGATCAATTGAAACATTAAATCATTTATAATAATACACAATCAAATGAATAAAATAAACAATATATTATAAAGAATTAACAAATTTGATTATTCATTAATCTAAATTAACTATAATAATACATCATTATAATAATCAAATTTAAGTAAAAGAAACAACAAAACACTACATCACACTATTCAACATTCACAAATTTAAACAAACAATAAATATGAATGATAAATGAAACAAAACAGTTGTGAAAATAGATAATAATCAAGAAGTGTATCAAATTAATAAGAAATAATGATATTTGAAATTTATCTATGAAACAAAAAAGAAATAAAACAACAAAAGATTAACAATGAAAATAGAATATCCAATATTTAAAAATAAACAGTAATTTATTAAATAGAAATGATAAATTGAATATTATTTGAATATTAAGTCAATTAAATTTGAATTATTTGTATCAAATAATATAGAATAAATAATTTTAAGATAATGTGAATGTATTTTTCTTTATGAATGAATAATATTCTTATTCTCAAACAAAATAATAAAACACATTAATAATTATAGTAATTAAATGTTCAAATTTGTTTTAAATGTATATAATATATTTCAACAGAAAATTAAAAATTGTTAATAATCAATTAAATAAACAATTAAATAACTATAAATCATATTAAATAAAACAATATAACATTGATTTATTATTGTTTTATAATACAATATTTAATATCAACAATTAATAAATTATATTGTTAATTTAACAAATTGTATAAATACTCAATTATTATTGTTATTTATTCATTTGATAAATTCTTAAAACTATTATTTGTTATATAATAAATCTAAATGAAAATATCTGATAATTTAAATAATCATCTATAATTTCATAAACAGAATGAATTAATTTGTTTATTTTCTATTTGTTTCTGTTATTAGTGATATTGTAGATAAATATAATGAAATATAAAACAATTATCAATATGAATAAATGATATTTCAATGTATAATAGAAATATAATTAGAAAATGAATAAGTTGATAGAGAATTGTATAATTTGAAATATCAAATAGATTTAAAGTGTATAATAATTAAGAATAATAGAATGAATTACTATCAAATAACTTGTTAATTCTTATTTAATTATCATTCTTGAAATATGAAATTAAAATGATATTTGTTGATTCTTGTTCATTTCTACTTATTTCTATTTATTGTTTCTTATACATATTTTTCTTCTTTTTATTTGAAATGTATAAACATAAAATATCCATTTCTCTTAATTATTTCTTATCCATTGAATGTAGCTACATTAGTTGATTCATTATCTATTCCAATACATTCTATATTATCATTAGTTGTTGTGATAGTATTCTTCATAACTGATGAAACAACTTGATGTTCTTAAACAATCAAAAAGAACAATAATCATTGAGACTATTACTGGTGTTTTAGTGGTTATTGTTTCAATGAATTTAACGTTATTAATTTCTTTTACATGAACACACTCAGTTTGATTATTAAGTTGTTATGTTCTATATGACTGATTCAAACAAAAAAATTATCACATACATCAAGATCATATTATTCTTTATCTGTTTATTCTTATACAGTCAGAACTACTGACACATCAAGAAATGAACATTAACAATAGAAACATCTTCAAATTGTTTATGTTTTTTTTTGTGTAAACAGTTTTCTTGTTGTTGGACTATATGTTATGATTTCACATTAATTTCTTACATTTAGATTAGTATTGATCGTTATGAATCAACATCCCATTGGTGTGTTATTGTTTAATTACTTCATTTACTCTCAACATATTTATATTTCAAACATACATTCTTTAATTCTACTCCTATTGAACTCTAAGATGTACATTATCTATTGATAGTTCATCAGTAAGTGATACAAACTTACAAATATGTGTATACTATCACATTCTTTTGTCATTGATCTACTTCTATAATCTACTTCTATTTTGATTACATTTTATTGTATTATAACAATTAAATAACCATTATCATTTTGACAAACAGTGAGTGCACGTCCTACTTTCTCCATCCATTCTTTTCCTTTAATAAATGTTTTACGTGCTTCTTCAATTCTCTTATTATTAGTGTTGCATATTATTTTTGTAGTATTCTTACATGTTGTTGGTTTTATTCTATTCTTTTCTGTAATAACAATCTCTTGAATCTTACATTCAACTGTTGACAATCAAAGATATAACTAATAACGTAATCATTATTCTTGTATTTGTATGGAATTCATCTATTCTTAGTTTCTTCTGCATATAATTCAACTTCCTCTCCTTATTCTTAACTTGCAATTAATAAACATCTTTTACATTCACTTGTTGTTATTTTGTATGTACAATATGATTCTTTATCTTCTTCTTTCATCAATTCTTCACTTTGTTATAAATGAAGTCTGTAACCATTCACATTGAATATAAATTGTAGTGATAGGTAACTGTAACATATCTTGACATGGTAAATAAAAGTTATAAATATATTTAAAGTTATTATCATTATCTAATCAATCTATGTATTGTTTTTGAATACATTGTTCATCAATACAATCTTTTGGAATAGTGTATTTGTACTCTTTTTCCATTTTCTAAAATAACTTTATTTTCTAATTTTTGATATTTACATTCTCTCCAAACTTATCATTTTCACATATTGAACATGTTAATGTTGGTTTAACAGTTTGTTTAAATGTTCCTCTTTTTGATCATAAATATAAGTTCTGTATGTAGTATCAGTGGATATGTTAAACTAGAACATTCAGCACAAATATTATTATCAGATTTAGAATATTCATTTTTATTAAATACATATAAATAAGAATTATACATTAATACATTTACCATTAATGTTTCTACATTGATATTTATATGAGTTACACATCATGATATTTAATAACATTATCTGTTACCATTGAACAATATTAATATTCTACATTAGAATTATCTCAAACAACTTGAACTGCACATTGTCATTTAAATATGTAGTTGAATAATAATCTCTGTACATAGTTTTAGAACAATCAACATTCATAATATTTATTCTTACTTATTTCTTTGCATCTATTCATAAGACATCTCTATCTGACAAGATATTCTGTACAATTCGAAACAATACATTTTTGTGTAGTTCCTGTATAATCATAAATTTGATGTTTACTAGAATTACAATAATTACCATTTTGTACTTGAGTAGATTTACAACATTTATTAGTTGATACATCACACTTACATACTGATCTTATAGAATCTCCACAACATGATGAATGACATGATGATGTATTCGCATTTATATCTGTATTGAATTACATTTTACTAAATAACATGACATTTCAATATACCTGATGTTTTTACATTTATTTTATCTCTAACACTACACTTTGTTCTGAATAACAAACATATTCTTGATAGTTGTTAGTTTTACTGTACATGTATTCTCACTATGATTATCTTTCATACAAAACCTCGTAGTTTGATTACATATGTAACTCTAACAATATCGATCAGAATTTGTTTTTTAATATTTCAATTTGTTATTATCATATCATCATTTCATTGACACTGTTATTTATTATCTTTTTATTTATTTCATCATTTATCTCTTGTTTGATATGATAATATAAATAATTTAAATTGTATATTATCATCATTCATCATTGATAATCATCTGTGATATAATTTAATTTTCATATCAATAATTATATCATTTAAATAAATAAATAATAACATCTATTAACATATCATTATGACATCTAATCAATGTGATAAATGAAATGTAACATATTTACTCATTAATAACAATACGATTGATATTCATATTTATATAATCATTGATATTCATAAATAACATTATAAATATGAATTAACATAATGCTCTTCTTTATTATTTTTCATAATGATATTTTCACATTAAAATAGAATTGAAGGTAAATGAAAAGAAATAAAGAATAATATAAAATGAACACAAATATGAATGAATATACTCAACAAATCAATATACATCATACTCAATACAACAAGAAGTTACAAAGTGTCAACTGATTGTTATAGAATTTGTATTTTACCTACTTTTTATTTTATATTATATTTTTATAATTTTAAGAGAAAATAATAGAAAACATAATAATCTAATATTCAAAAAATATAATACACTATTTTCAATTGATCATTTTATTTAGATTCATAATTTCTTCGCTTATTTTGGTTCCCATTGTAGTTTTACATCTATCATTCATTTCTTTGATTCGATTTTTGTTTTTGATTCATTCTTCATTTATTTTAATATCTTCATCTTTTATTTTGTTTTCTATTTGAATTCTTCTTCGATTTTTCTTTATTATTTATTACTGAATATACTTCTTGGAATATTATACATTTTCTTTATCTTCTAATTTTTATATATTTCTGAATATTCTCATTTCTCATTTTCAATTCTTATTCTTTTATTTTTCATTTCAATTTCTTTTGTTGTTAACCATTTAGGTTTCTTATTTGTATAATGTTTATTATCATTATATTTACATTGTTTCTTATTTGTTTTTCTTTGTATTCTTCTTTTTCTATTCAATTTTCTCTTGTTATTTCTTTTACCATTATTATTATGTATTTTATTGTTATTTCATTCATTCTTTTCTTTGAACTTGAATACCTGTTTGTGGTTTAATTTTCATTACAAGACTCTATAACATTACTCAATAAGCATGGTAACAAAATATGATGTATATTCTGAATTGATAAAAGGATCTTTTAATTATAATAAATATAAATAAGAAAGAAGAAAGAAATAAACAGAAGAATAATGAATGTTTGATAATTAAAATATAATAAAAAATAAACATAAAGAAAATAAAGAATAATAGAAATAGAATAAATTAAATTAAAATTAAAATAAACAAAATATAATAATGAAATAATCAAATTATTTTATTTACTAATCAAAATTAAATTCAACAATATTTATAATTTTAAGTATTTAATAATACTATTAATTTATCTTAATTTTTATTTGTTTAAATTGTTGTGTTGTTGATTATTTATATTATCTCCATTTATTTTTCTTCGTATTAATTTAGTTATTTTTTTATTATTTTATTCTATTTATCTTTTCATTTGATATTTATTGTCATTATTATCACTACTTTTCTTATTTTTGTATTTTATATTTTATTTCAATTTTATATAAAAGTATTATTCAATAGTCAAGTAAATAAAGAATGTAATCACACTTTATGATTGGTTATTGGATTATTTAATTTTCATATCTATTCTAATTTTTAATATTTCATTATTATTTTTTTATTTCTTATTTGTATTATTAATTCATTAATTAATTCAGTTTCTCATTGTATATTATTCTTTTCAATATAATAATTCAATTCATTTTTGTTTATTTTTTATACTTATTAATCTGTATTGATTATACTTCTTTCTCGTTTATTTTTATATTATTATGATTCTTTAACTCTTTATTTATTTCTATTAATTATTTTATATTCTCATTATTTTCTTCTTAAATTTTAATAGTTTATTTTATTTGATTGTTCAATTAGTATTATTAATGAATGGTTTAGTGTTTATTTTATTATCTCATTGTTTCTTATTATTATTTCTTATTAATTCATTTGTTTTTATTTATTATTTTTATTATTATCATTCTTTAATGAATTTAATTAATTTATCTTGTTTACCTTATATTCTTTATTTCTTAATTACTCAATTCATATCATATTTATAATTTAATAATTATTTTATTGTATTTATCTTCTTTTAATTCTTTCTATAAATTGGTTATCATGAATACTTTTGATTATATAATATTTCATATTTAAATTGCTTTTTCATTATATTTATTAAATATTATTTCTTACTCTTACTTAATCTATTTGTTCATATTATTATGGTATATGACTTATATAATAAATCATATGATGAAATAAATGAAACCATATCAAATAAAGAGATTATAATGAAATAAACTATAAATATTAAATATATAAAACAAGAACATTAAATGTTATTTAGTTATAATATTGTTTGTGATATGAATGGGTTATGTTTTGTTTTTATAAATTGAATTTGATTTTTGTTAATTTATGTTAATTTGATATTTATTTTATTAATGAATGAAAATTAATAACTTCTACTTATTCAATGTTTAAATCTAAATTTATTTTGAATAAATCCTTAATTAATTTATGTTGTATTATTTTATAAAAAAATCTTATTAATTGTATATTTATCATATTAGTTATTGTTTGTAAATACAATAAATTTCTATACTAAATTTATGATAAAGTAAATAATTGTATAATTTGAATTAGTAGTTCAATATAAAAGAATTGTACCTCATCTTCTTTTTGTGTATTTCACAACAACTCTTTAATTGCTTTATGAATCAATAGAATAAACATTAAATCTCCTAAACTCATTAACTAATTTTCACAACAACAAATCTAATTTCAGTTTAAAGATTATTTATTCTCTATATTACTATTAACTCTTATCTTCAACAATTATTAAATTACTTCTAAACATGACAATGAAATGTAATTATACTATTTGAATTATTGAAACTCCAAAAGAAATAAAACAACTCCCACAAGAAAAAGAAGAGCAAGACAATGTCGAATATGTCCAAGAAGAAATCACTAGTTTAAAACGTAAAGATGACAAAGTAGAAGTAGTGAAAATAATGAAGTTGCACCAACTATAGAACTTGACGTGAGCAGTGATGAAGATGACCATGGAAATAAGAAAAAAGAAATGTCTTCTATTGGAAAGAATTTCATTCAAACATTAGGAAAGAAGAACAAAATATCTGGAAGTACTCTTTTGATTTTGTTTGGGTTAATGGTTGTACTAGTTGTTTTTATGGTTGTTGTTTATTTCATTGGTAACAAAGACACATAATTTAATTACATTCTTTTCATCTTCCTTGATAATTTCTCATATTCAATTCTCACAAGATAGAAATAGTAAAACTGATAATAAGTAAATAATAAAATTGTTTAAGAAATCAAAATCTCAAAAACCCTTGACAAAAACAAAATATCAAGCAGAATTGAGCAAAACGTTGTTTTAAATATTCTTAAACACTTTAGAAATACACGCTCTTCATTTAATAATCAGACACATTGTGGTGGAAGAATATATGGAGTTGTTAATGATGAATCAATTGTTGAAGTAACTAGAAGTACTCCCAAAGTGTAGAGAAGGAAAATTAAAGATGGCAAAAGACATAGTTGGACAGAATTGTTATTGTGTTGGGATGTATGTCTGTGGAGGAAGTAAAGATTTAACTAAACAACAATTAGAATATTTGAGTAAAGTTAAAGAGAATATTGGAAGTAGTTTTGTGGTATACATTAATCCAACAGAAAGTTTAAAAAGAAATTCCCTTATTATGGAAGGATATGTTCTAGAGAATGAATCTACAAAAGAATTAAAAAGAGTTAATATTACTCTTTATACATCTTCTTTACAAAAGAATTTCATTGGTCAAATGGAATAAAATGTTGAATTGACTCATTAATTAATATTGTTATTTTTATTATCAGGATGAATGGAAACATTAGAAATCAATGAAATTATTAAATAACAATAAGAATGAAGTTTTTTAAAAAAGCAGAAGAAATGATAAAATAAGATAACATATAACAATTAAATACTCTCAACATAAGAAGTAAATAATTAAAACTCAAAGTTAAATAAAAATAATTATGAAAACACAAGAATAAAAAGAGATGAAATAGAGAAGTTAAATATATTAAAGATATTCAAATAACTAAATTAATTGGAATGGTTAAAGAAAGAATTAAAAAGATAAGAAAAGATTAAAATAGATTCAATCAAAATAAAATAAATTAAACAATATAGAAATCATTAGATTAACAAAACACTCATAAATAAATTCTAAATAAGTTGATGGATTATGGATTAATAATAAAAGTAACTGTTGAATAATTAAATAAAGAATTAAAGAATAATAGATATTGTTAATATTAATAAATAATGAAAGAATAGTATAACTAAAAAGAAATAGAATTATGATAAAAGTAATAATATAGAAAAAATAAATAGAATAGAAAGATACATATCTACAAGAAATTGAGATAAAGAGATGATAATAGAATCAAAATAAATAAAAATATAATAAAATTAAAGAAGAATTAAATACTAAAAATGATTAAATTAAAGAAATAATATAATGGATAATGTATATTAAATGGTTAATAAAGAATATAATAATATGAATAAATAATAAAATGAAGTAACAGTATAAAATTAGTAATAAAATAAACATATGAATTATAAAAAGAAGAAAGAAGAAATAAAAAGATATTCTAAATAATTAATTATTTACTTCAAAATAAAATGAAATATTAATTTTAAAAGATTAATTCAAATAGTTTATTAATGTTTTAATTTGATTCAAATAATTGACATTATAATATAAAATCTGATTATAAAAAATGATAAAAAGAAAATAAAATAATAAAACAATAGAATAAAGAATTAATTTATATAAAATAGAATCAGTAGTAAATTGAGTATGATAAATAAAAATAAAAAAAAAGAACAGAAAGAATTACCATAAAGAAAGTTTAAAAAAAGAGTAGAATTAATAGAATAGAAAAATAAGAAGAAATAGAAAAGTATTTTGTTAATACTATTGTTGTTTATAGAACTTTTTTCATAACAATAAATAATAAATAAGAAAGAAGATAAAGAAAGTGGACAATTTAATCAATAAGAATTTTTGAAATGCCAAAAATAAGTTATGCCTCAAACTTTATTTAATTCTATTTAAAGAAAAAAAGATATTCTTGAGTCATTCACATGACAAGCGAACCATTAGACACATTTAAAATATTCAATGTGAATCCAGACCCTAATGAAATTTTATCAAAGAAGAAATTACATGATACAGAAGGAAAGGTTAATTTAATAAAACTATTCAAATATTCAGATTGGATAGATTTGATTTTATTAATCATTGGAATTATAAGTTCAATAGGAAATGGAATAATGCAACCACTCATGATGGTTTTAATGGGAGATATGGTTAATAGTTATATCTATACTCCAGAATATAACATAATAATAGATGAAGAAGTTAATCATATGATTGTTGAAGAAGTAAAAGAATCAGTGAATAAAGTAGTTGTGAAGATGGTATATTTTGGAGTAATAAGTATGGTATTAAGTTTTATGAGAACATTTTCATTGTTTGTAGTTTCCCAAAGAGAAGGAATTAGAGTGAGAAAATTATATTTTAAGTCATTATTAAGACAAGATGCAACATGGTATGATTTGCAAGAATCAGGAGAATTAACAACAAGAATAGCAACAGATATTAAAAATTTTCAAGATGGAATTGGTCCAAAATTTGGAATGATTTTTCAAATATTTTCAATAGCTATTACAGGTTATATTATTGGATTTATTAAATCATGGGATCTAACACTTGTACTGATAGCAACAGTTCCATTATCTTCATTTTCTTTCACAGGTTTTCAAATGGTTGGAATGAAATATGAAACAAAAGCATTAAGTGTGTTTGGAGTAGCTGGTAGTATTGCAGAAGAAACAATAGGAAATATTAGAACAGTTCAGTCATTAAATCAAGAACATAAATTTAGTGAAGAATATGAAGAAAAAATAAAAGAAAATGAACATTTTAATGCAATTAAAGGACAATGTTTTGGAATAGGATTTGGTTTTAGTATGTTTTTTATATTTTGTTCATATGCACTTGGAAGTTGGTATGGTAGTATTGTAATTAGAGGAAAAGGAGGAAGTAAAGGAGTAATTGCTGGTGATGTTTTGGGAGTATTCTTTTCAGTGTGGATGGCATCTCAAATATTAGCTATGGTTGCAACACCATTAAATTTATTATTTTCAGCACAAGCATCAGCTTATAAAATATTTACAACAATTGATAGAATACCAGATATTGATTGTCAATCTACAGTTGGTGAATGTCCTAATGAATGTAATGGAAATATTAAATTTGAGGATGTTCAATTTGTTTATCCAACAAGACCATCTCATCAAGTATTAAAAGGACTTGATCTTGAAATTAAGAAAGGAGAAACAATTGCATTAGTTGGAACATCAGGATGTGGGAAATCAACTACTATTCAATTAATTCAAAGAAATTATGATCCAAATAGTGGAAAAATAACAATAGATGGAAAAGATATAAGAGAATTAAATATTAAATGGTTAAGAAATCAAATAGGAATAGTTGGACAAGAACCAATATTATTTGCAGGAACAATTCGAGAAAATATTATACTTGGAACAAGAGAAGGAGAAACATTAAATGAAGAAGAAATGATTAAATGTGCTAAAATGGCAAATGCACATGATTTCATTTCTAAACTTCCAGATGGATATGATACAATAATTGGAGAAAAAGGAGCATTATTATCAGGAGGACAGAAACAAAGAATTGCTATTGCACGTGCATTAATTAGAAAACCATCTATTCTACTTCTTGATGAAGCTACATCAGCACTTGATACACAAAGTGAAAAAATAGTACAAGAAGCACTTGACAAAGCATCAAAAGGAAGAACAACAATTATTATTGCACATAGATTAACAACTGTTAGAAATGCAGATAAAATATGTGTATTTCATCAAGGAGAAATTATAGAACAAGGAACACATCAAGAATTAATAGAATTAAAAGGAACATATTATGGATTAGTTAAAAGACAAAGTATGGAAGAAGAAGTTGATCAAGAAACAGTTGAGAATGATTTAAAGAAATTTAGAGAAGAAGAAGAAGATAAAGAAATAGAAAATATAATTGTTACAGAAAATCAAAATGATGAAGAAATTGTTAATAAAATTAAAGAAGAATATGAAGAAGAAATAAAAATAACAAAGAAATCAAATAGATTTTCAATAATAAGAATTATGATTGAACAAATGAAAATGAATTTTATTTTCTTTACACTTGCTACACTTGGTGGAATTGTAGGAGGTGCAATATATCCATTTTTTACAATTAAGTTTATTGATTTAATAGTTGTGATGATGGAGATGAGAGAAGGAGTTGATCTAACAGATGAACAACATCATACATTAATTGTATCTATCATTTGGATTATAGGAATTGCAATTGTTGGACTTATATCACATTACTTTTATATTGGATTATTTGGAACATCAGGAGAACATTTAATAGGAAGTATTAGAAGAAGAATGTTTAAATCAATTATTAGTCAAGAAATAGGATGGTTTGATAGAAAAGAAAATAGAGTAGGTTCATTAATTACACGATTATCATCTGATCCAACAAAATTAAATGGAATTACTGGTATATTTCTTGGAAATACTGTTTATCTTATTTCTTCAATTTGTTTTGCATTTGGATTTGCTCTTTATTATGAATGGAAGGTAGCACTTTGTGTTATTGCTACTTCTCCTATTCTAGTGCTCATTTTATTTGGCGATTATAAGTTTAATTCAATGCAATCATCTCCAGCAGAAAAAGCATATGAAGAATCAGGAATTACTCTTGTTGAAGTAGTTGAATCTATGAAAACAGTTCAATCATTAACAAGAGAAGAACACTTCTTAAAACACTATTCATTAAATTTGAAAAAACCTTATAGAAATATCTTTAAATGGGCACCATTACTTGCTTTAGTGAATTCACTTTCAAATTTATCAAATTTTGTTGTTGATGCATATGGGTATTATCTTGGTACTTATTTTTTAGCAAAGAAGTTAAATTATAAACAAACAAGTCAAATGTTTTATCAAGTATTTACCGAAGGATACATGAAACTTCAGAAGGCTATTATGTCTGTTGTTTTTGCTTCACAAAGGATGGGAAGTTTTGGAGAAATTATGCCAGACATTGGTAAATCAATGAAAGCAGCAAGACATTCATATAATGTTATTGATAGAATACCTAAGATAGAATCACAAGAAGTAAATAATGAGATAATTAATGATATAAAAGGTGAAATTGAGTTCAAAAATGTTCATTTCAGATATCCAACAAGAGTTGATAATGAAGTATTAAAAGGTATTTCATTTAAAGCAGAACAAGGAAAAACAATTGCATTAGTTGGAGTATCAGGATGTGGTAAATCAACATCAATTCAATTAATTGAAAGATTTTATGAACCAACAAATGGGGAAGTATTATTAGATGGACATAATATAAAGGATTTAAACATTCAGTTCTTAAGAAATCAAATAGGATTAGTTGGACAAGAACCAGTATTATTTGCTGAAAGTATTATTGATAATATTAAAAGAGGTATTCCTAAAGGTGTTGAAGTAAATAATGAACAAATTTATACTGCTGCTAAAATGGCAAATGCACATGATTTCATTTCAACAATGCCAGAAGGATATAATACAATGGTAGGTGATAGAGGAAGTCAATTATCAGGAGGACAAAAACAAAGAATTGCTATTGCACGTGCATTAATTAGAAATCCAAAAGTATTATTACTTGATGAAGCTACATCAGCACTTGATTCAGAAAGTGAAAAAATAGTACAAGAAGCACTTGACAAAGCATCAAAAGGAAGAACAACAATTATTATTGCACATAGATTATCAACTATTCAAAACGCAGATAAAATATGTGTTATTATGAGAGGAAAGATTGTAGAACAAGGAACACATCAAGAATTAATAGAATTGAAAGGATTTTATTATACACTTGCTATGCAACAATTTGGAACAATGAATTAATTCAAATAAATATTAATTAAATGTTCATTTTAATGATACAAAAGTATTTCTTTATCTTTTAAAAATATTATAAATATAATAATTATATAAAGGTATTAGTTTAAATAATAATATTTTATATTTTGAGTATATTAATTTCATTAAACATTATTTTAATGTTGAAAGAACTAATTAAAACAAATATAATTATCATTATATTAATCTACTTATATTTTGACATTAATTCAATATTAAAATATGATAATATACATTTATAACTAATAAATATTTTATAATAATATATTAATGATAATAAAAATAATAAACATAATTTTTGTTGTTCAATAACTTTTATTGAATAATCATTACTAAATAGAATTTAATATAATACAATGACTAGAAAATAATATTAAACATAATAGAATAAGAAAATAATAAGAAGATAATAAGATAGTAAAATATTGATATAATAATTTAATCCATTATTTTAATTTGGTTTAAAATGAATTGGTAATAATAAATAAAGTGTAAATGATTATAAACAAACCATACTCATTTAGTTTAATTATTATTACAAATCATTAATTACGTAATCAATGTATTAATTATAAAATATTTATATCTTATTAATCAATTGATAATTAAATTTATTAATACTGATTTATTTACGTAATTAATATATTTATTAAATGTTAATTTATTATCTCTATTATTTAAATAACTTGTAATTACTAATCTCCACCATAAAAGAATAATAATAACTAAATAATATTTATAACTAATTTAGAATAAAACCAATATTCATACAATAATCAATCATATAATTTATAATTAAATGAATAAATTTAAATTAAATAAATATTCAACCATTGATAACTGAATGATATAAATTGTTCAAATAATTTTAAATTAAATTCAAAATAAGTAATTTGTATTTTGATTATTTAGTTCAACAAATATGTGTGTTTTTTGTATATGTTCATTGTTAGATTTTAACATTAAACTTTCATTAATATTTCTTTGTTTCTTTTTTTAAAATTCATCACCAATTTTTATTTTAACCATTTTCACTTCTATTGAAACATTCTTTATCAATAAAAACATTATTTTTATTCTAAACTTTTATTGGTATGACAAATGGGTTTAATGTAATGGTTGTATGTTGTTTATGTGAATATTAAATTAAATAAATAAAATTACTTGAGTAACTAAATTATTTATTATTCTTTAATAAACAAGTTTGGTTTAACTTTTTCATGTAAAACTAATTACTATACAATTTTGAGTAATTAAGAAATAGTCATTATCCATTTATTCTCTTTCATATCTATTTCTGATTATTACTAACATAGTAACATAAATCAAATAATATAAGTTGGATTTTTATTAATTATGTTTTATTTTTGTTTATTTAAAGAAAGGAATTTGAATAGAAATAAATTAGAAATAGAGAAAAGAGAATAATCAAATTATGTTTGTTTTAAAAAAGAAATAAAAAAAGAAAAGATATAAACAGATAAAGATAATTATTCAACATTCTAATTAGTTTAACTATACTTGATAAAAATATCTAAAATAACAATAAGAATGAATAGAAATAAAATGATAAAATTATATGAAATATAAATTCAAATATAAATAAAGATAGAATAGAAATAAACCATTCATAAATGAGAAAATGATAAAGTTGTATTAAATAATGAATAATTTAATTCAATAAATGAATTAATTGAAAATATTCAACATAAATCATTAAATATATTTAATTAATTTGATTTTCATAAGAACTAAACAATTTTACTTTTATATTTTATTAGTTTTAATAAACTAAGTTTATTTCAACATAAATTTAATTTTGGAGAATGAAATATTTAACATAATATTATTAGATAAAAAATATAAGAACAATGTAAATAAATAAAATAATGAATAATAAAAATAAATATAATAAATGAATATAGTATTTGAATTAAAGTGTATAATTGAAGTTTGATGAACAATATCTAAAGTAAAATATGGAATAGAAATGGATGTAGTTTGAAAAAAAATTATAATTATTATATTATTTTATTATATTTATACTGTAATTTATATACTTTATTTTTTATTGATAAAATATTATCTTTTTATATTTAGTTATTTATTATTTTAAATGATATTGAATGATTTTATTTTCATTAAATTTATCATTATTTATTTTTTATTCTCTCTCATTTTATGTTTTCAATTAATAAATTAATAATGGATTTACTATTTAATTCTATTATATTTAATTTAAATGAAATCTCTTTATTTAATCATCATTATTAAGTTATTTAAATATTACAATGAATATTAAATAATATATTCATTTAAAAAATGAATGATTGAATATATTATATGATGAATGAATTAAATATCGATTTAATTATCATTAATATTGAATATTATTAAGAGAATATAATAAAATAAATAAAATAGTGTAAATGAAAAATAAATAAAAATTTGATTTTGATTTAATGAAATTAATTAATGAATATTTTAATTATGATTTATTATTTATTATTTCATTAATAAATATGAATTATTAAATATAAAACAAGATATTAGTATCATTAATAAATGATTTGATTATTACTTAAGTTAATTTCTTATTTTACATATTATATTATTAAAATCAGATGATATACAATAATTATTAAAATAATGAAATTATTAACATTTCTATTATTTTATCATTATTTTGTAATGATATTTAATATAAATTATTATTTATTATTGATGAAATATGTTTCAATTAATATGATGATAAGAAGTCAATAAAATTATATTTATCTGAGTATATAGAAATTATAAAACAATTAATATCATCATCAAAAAGTATGATGATTTGTATTTGTGTTGATGGTACTTTTATTTATCATTTTTTAAAATATTATAAAACATTTGATCTTTCGATTCAATCAAAATATAATTTATCAATATATTACATTTCTAAATGAACAATATTCACAATAATGAATATATTTTTTTTGACATAATGTTAAATAAAATCATTCAGTATATTATAAATGAATTAATTAATTGTGATTATGTTAATAATCAAATAAAAGTAATAACAATGGATAACTTTGAATAACATACTGATATTTCATTATTTAATATATTTATTTATCATAATATCATTATTCATTATATATCACACTTCTCATCTTGTTCAATAACTTGATTTAATATTAATTAATCAATTAAAAATTAAATCTAAATGAATAACATTAATTTAAATAATCTCATCAATTATTATTTCAAAATGTAAATCATTTTGATTATGAAATAGACCAAATACATTTGAATATCATTGAAATGATGATAAATGATTCAATTAATATAACAATGAATAATGAACAAGAAGAAAACAAAGAGAATAAATAACTAATTATATAAAAAATATCATAAACTCAATGTATTCAAAACCATTCATAAATTAATTAAATCTTTTTTTTTAACAATATGGTATTATCATAATGTATAACAAGAAAGATATGAGAGTTTTTGTTAATTTAGAGTCTACAACAAGATTAGTTAATAAAGATAAAAGAAGTATTAATACCTCATATTTTCATCAATTAAAAAAATATGAACCATAAAATGATTTAGTTTATATTCATGAAATTGTATTAATTAATAAATAATTTATAATACATAAACATCAATTAAACATACAAATTAACATAAAAAATAAATAAAAGAATAAGAAAAAATAAAAAGTAGATAATTTAATGTTAATAACTTATTTTCTATTGTCCAATGTTTAGTGGAGATTATCCACTTTGTTTTAAGATTGTTTGCTCATCAATTATTAGTTTGTTTTTTTTGGCTTTTCGATAATGAAAAATGAGAAATTCTGTTCTTTATTTATTTATTGTAGAATAAAGTATTTCAGATATCTCTGATTTAAATATTCATTACTTAAGTTCCTTTCTAAAAATTAATGAGTATTAAAAACCCTCTTCTTTACTTTGTTTTTTAAGAAGAATAATCATTATCACTATAACACTATGAATAATTTTCATTTTAGCATCAACTACAACAACAAATCCTTTTTGTTTATAGTTCATATTAACAAATATACTTGTATCATAACAAGTAATACTACCGTCTTTATAAATAACTACTCTTACATTATAAATGATACCAAGTCATCATAAATAATAATCACCGATATTCCTGCAATATTAAGTAAGATGTTTTCTAACTAATAGTAACACCATGACCAAACTATAACTGATAAATCGACCATGGATTTATTTTAGGGTCCTGTCTGGTGTTTCTGATATTGGCTACCTTTGAATCAAAAAAATAAATGAAAATAACTGTTTCATTTCATTTTTAAATAAAAAAATAATATAACAAGAAATAAAAAAAAAGAAAAGGAAATGATAAAGAAAAGAAAGAAAACTACGATTTAGTTCAATTACTCAAAACGAGTCATATCATTATAAGGTCTTCAGTATTTTTATTTATTGTATCAACACTGAGTACATAATACATGACTATCACATGCTGGTTCCTCTAATGTAGTAATATGAAGTACATCTTGTTAAAACAAAAATAAAATGCCAATGAAAACTTTAACAATTTTTAAAAAACATTAAAAGGTTTCAAAGTCATTAAATTTAAAACAAAACCTAGACAAGATGAAATGAAGACAATTCAGGTTTGAATATCTTTAGAGGAGTTTAGTTTACAAGAAATAAGGAATGTTGAAGAAACTGGTCTGTTCTCTTCTCAACAGGTTAAAAATTTACATATTAAGTAAATCATAACTGAGTATTATCTTAAACATATTTTATAATCAGTTGGAGTGTTAAACAAAAGCTAAAATGATGAGATGATAAAGGTAATTAAATAAATAAAATCAAGATTTTATTGAGAATAACATTAACTGATTATTAAAAATTCATGTTTTCCATTTTTTTGATGTTAAGAATTTAGTTATTAATAATAAAAATAAATAAAAAATATTATATTATTATTGATTTATTTATAATATAAAATAACAAAATTCAACAAAAGGTTCAAAACAATAAAAATGAAAGAAACAATCATCATCACAAAATAATCTAATATTATTATTCTTCATATTCATTCATGCTAATATTTTATATTATATTTTTGATTAATTACGTTAATGCTGATGGATATGATTGTATTCCAAAAGGATATGATTTTAAAGATGGATTTGAAGATAGAAGTGGGGAGGCTAATTCCAAATGTACGACACTGGGAGGTTACAATGGTTGTTCATATCATCTTACTAAAGACTTCAGTTATTCTTTAAATAATATTATGGAATGTGAAAACACAGAATTCAATGGTACATTCATAATGAAAAGTTTAAGTAATTACTGGAATGCAAATACTTTTAAGATTCTAGATAATTCTAACATTACTTTAAATGGACATTTTCATACACAAAAAGAATTTAACATTGGAACAAATTCTACAGTAGTTTGGAATGGGTGTGTTTCATTTAAACATTCAATTACATTTGAAACAACACCAACATTAAATCAACCTCAAATAATTATTTGGAAAAGTGATTGGATTCATCTTTATAAACCAGCTGGGTCACAAATAAGTAAATTTGAAGTTAATAATCCAATTAATAATAAACAATGTTTTGATGTGATGTCATTTAATAATAATGCTGCACTTGACTTTGATAAAAAATCATTTGACCATTATTTACCAAAAGATTTTAAGAATGGACTTGATATGTCAGATGGTAAAGCATATTTAATATCAAACAATAGATTAATGAGATTTTGTCCAAAAGAAAGTAATTTAATAGATAAAAATGTTACTTGTACAATGAATGGTAATAGTTATGAATTATCGTATTCAGGAAGTGGTAGTAAACCATTCAATTATCCACATTGTCCATGTGATGATAATGGTGAAACTGAATGTATTCTTAATATTCAACAAAATTTAAACACAGTAGATTTTAATAATAATATTATTAAATATACAACTCTTAATATTGATCATGATATTACATTACATAACTTTAGTTCAGCTAAACAAATTAATGTTAATGATGATATTACATTATTAATAGCACCTGTTTCATCAATCAAAGAGTATACTCAAAAGATACAATTTAATAACTTTGAAATTACAAATAATAGAGAAAAGAATAATAACTCAAAATTCAAATACAATTCAAATACAAATATATTGGAAATAAATGGAAATAATGAACTAAAACATTCATCAAATCCAACAAATAAACCATTAACTTTAATTATAAATGGTACTCTCACATGTAATTCTTTTGTTAATAATTCTGTTTATTATTTCACTAATTCTTCTACATCAACACCATTAATAAATATTAATAATAATGGTAATAATAATATAATGATATTTGATGAAACAGTAAGATTAAATGGTCAATTATCAAATTGTATTGTTTTAACTGGTAAATCAAATGAAAAATTTAAATGTATCCAATGTAAAAAAGGATATTATTTAAATTCAAAACAAGAATGTCAATATGAATCACATTGTATTAAAATAAATGACCAAAGTCATTGTATTGAATGTAAGTGTGGATATTATCTTAATTTAAATACAAAAACATGTGAAGAATTCAAAAATGGATGTAAAATTGGAAATGAAACATATTGTTATCAATGTAAAGAAGGATATATTAAAGAAAATGGAGAATGTAAAGAAAATGATAATAAATGTAATAAATCAGAAAGAAATTATTGTTTAAAATGTTTAAATGGATATAAAATAGAAAATAATCAATGTAATGGAGATAATGATGATCAATGTTATTATGAAGGAAATAAATGTGTATCATGTTCAAATAAATATACATTAAACAATGAAAAATGTTCAAATAAAGAAAAGAATCAAAATGGAAAGAATGAAGAAATATATTGTGAAAATGGAAAATACATCAATAATAATAAATGTATAGAATGTTCAAAATCAGAAATATGTCAAACAAATGATATTGAAATAAAATGTAAATATGAAGAATATTTAGATAATAATAAATGTATAAATAAAACATGTGAAGAAGATATAATAAAAGATCAAAATGGAAAATGTAATAATAATATTGAATATTGTTTAAATAAATCATATGTTAATGGAAAATGTGTTGAATGTTCAAATGGATATTCACCTAATTTGAACGGAGAATGTATTAATACAAAAATAGAATATTGTGAAGAACAAAATGGATATGGATGTAAAAGATGTAAAGAAGGATATTATTTAACAAAAGACATGAAATGTTTAAAATGTGATGATAAATGTGAAACATGTTATGGAACATCTACATATTGTATGAGTTGTTCTAATGATAAATATTTAAGAAATGATAAAACATGTCAATCAAATGAAGAATTAAATGGAACATGTTTACAATTATTGCAAGATGGAAGTGGATGTGGAATATGTAAGAATGGATATTATAGAAATGGAAAAGGATGTTCAAAATGTGAAAAAGAATGTTTAACATGTAATCAAAAAGATAAATGTATAATATGTGGAGAAGGATATTTTATGAGTTCAACAGGAATATGTAAATTAACAACAACAATTAAAGGATGTAAAGGAGAAATAGATAAAGAATATGGATGTAGAGAATGTTTAACAGGATATTATTTAATAAATAAAGAATGTTCAAAATGTGGAAAACAATGTATAACATGTTTAAATGAGAAAGAATGTAATAAATGTGAAGATGAATATATAATAATAAATAAAGAATGTATTCATTATTCAAATATTAATAAATGTAAAGAAACAAAAAATAATAAATGTTCAAAATGTTCATTTTGGTATGGAATCAATGAAGAAGGAACAAAATGTAATAAAGAAATCGTATGGTGGATGATAATGATAATTATCATCATTATACTTATTATCATCATTATAATAATTATAATTATAATAATAATGATTAATTACATTATAAAACGTAAAGAAAAGAAAGAACAAGAGAAAACAACAACAATATTTAAAATTTCACAATCAAATATCAAATTTATATCACTTGGAGATGGAATCATAACAAATAAAAAAGAAATAGAAATAGGAGAAGGAGAAGAAATTGAAGTAAATAAAGAAATTAGAGAAATAATATGTATTGGAAATGAAAATAAAGAAAAAAAGAAAATACAAATAAGTAGTAAAGAAGAAAATGAAAAATATTCAATTAGAATCAAACCAAATATTATTACAATTGAAGGAGGATATGCATGTGAATTTGAAATATTCATTACAATCAAATGTACTACTAAAATTAAAGAACAAATGATGATAATTAGTAAAACACTTAATAAAACACAAGAAGAAATAATTAAAAGTATTTCAATTAAAGGAGAAACACAAATATCAACACGACTTGATCCAGATGAAATAAAAGAAGAAAAGAAAATAGGAGAAGGATCATTTGGAATTGTATATATAGGAGAATTTAGAGGGAATCAAGTAGCAATTAAGAAAATGAAACAAATTGAAGAAAGTGAAGATAAAATGAAAGAATTTGAGAAAGAAGTAATGATGTTAGATAAATTTCGAAGTGAATATATTATTCATTTTTATGGAGCAGTATTTATTCCTAATAAAATATGTATGATAACAGAATATGCAAAATATGGATCAATACAAGATTTAATTAATAAAAGAACAAACACGGAAATACCAAATAAAATAAGAATTAAATTCATGATAGATGGAGCAAAAGGAATTTCATATCTTCATTCAAATGGAATACTACATCGAGATATTAAACCAGATAATTTTCTTGTTGTATCAATTGATGATAATATTGGAGTTAATTGTAAATTAACAGATTTTGGAAGTTCAAGAAACATCAATATGATGATGACAAATATGACATTTACAAAAGGAATAGGAACACCAAAATACATGGCACCAGAAGTACTTAATCGAGAACATTATAAAATGGCATCAGATATATATTCATATTCAATAACAATGTTACAAATCATTACATGGGAAGATCCATTTCCTAAAACATTATATCCACATCCATGGGATATTGCAGATACGATCACAACAGGTAAACGACCAACAATAATACAAGAAGTTAAAGAAGATATTAAAGAAATTATTGAAAAAACATGGAAACAAGAACCGAAAGAAAGAATAAGAATAGAAGAAGTAGTAAAAATGTTAGAAATAATTGAAAATAAAGAATGAAAAAAAAAAACATAAAAGAAATAGGATTAAATATTTCATTTAGTTCTATTAAATAATTTAATTTTATTAACATATTTTATCATTTCATTTAATTACAAATAAAGAAATGAACAATAAATAAATTAAAATAGAATACATTCATTCAAAAATAACTATATAATAAACAAAATGAAAAATAGAAGAATAAAAAGATAATAAATAACAACGATAAATGAATACATAAGTATAAATTATATTATAATGAATTTGTTTTAATTATATTCATTTTATTTTCTTTTGAAGATGTTTGTTATTAGAACAATTAAATGATTTGTAAATGATAGAGATATTAATTAAGTGATATATTTGTTATTTTAATTTTACTGTTGATGTTATTCTTATCTTCTTTTCTTTTATTGTAATTTTCATGTTTATCATATAATTTAATTAATTTCTAAGTTGGAAAATAGCATGTCACAAACATAACACAAAAGTCTAAAATGAAACAAAACTTCTAATATCAATTAATTATCATTTATCAATGTTTCTTTTAGTAAAAAATAAGTAATACACAATTTAATCAATATTAATATTATTCTTTATATCATTTAAATATTAAAGTTTGGTGTTATAATTGGTATGAAAATTGTTTATTTTAAGTATATTTTAAAATTGGTAATGATATGAATTAAAGAATGTAATTGGTACATCTGATATAAAGGATTATTATAATATAATGAATATTAATAGGTGATAAGTGTAGAGGAAATGAACCAGAAAAATAAATGTATTAAAATATTATTCTCAATTTACAACATCATTAAAATACAGTGATGATGTTTAATGTTATTTTATAAGTCAATGAATTAAATGAAAAAGATTTGAATTTAGAATATGAAATACGAATAAAACAAAAGAGATAAAATGAATAAATAATAAAAATGATGATAGTTTTAATGATATAAATTCACAACTAAATATATCAATACAATACTCTTGTATATAGAGAATGATGAAACTACCAATGAGAATCAAAATAAGAGAAGAAATTATGTATCTAAATAAAAACCATACAAAGAAAAAGGAGTAAAATATTTTGCATCATAGAATAAATTGTTTTTAATATTTTGCTCTTACAAAAAAATAAAAAAGTAGGTTAAATACGTGTTCTGTAATCAATTATTTCTGATTATCTTACTTTATAAATACTTTTGATCAATTAGTCTGAACTATCAATGTAACAAATGAGACCTTTAATTCAACACAAGTACACATTTTTATTCTTATCTTATTATTATTATTATTATTATTATTATTATTATTATTATTATTATTATTATTATTATTATTATTATTATTATTATTATTATTATTATTTTATTCTTATGTTATTTATGTATTTTATTTTTATATCTTTATATTTTTTTCTTCTTATAATTATTTCTCTTCTTATAATATAGATATAACATCATATTATCTCTATATTCTTATATTCATCATGATTATTAGAATTCTTTCTATTTATACTCTTTATACTTTCATCTATATATTCTCATACTTCTAATTATATGTACTTTCTTATGTCTTCATACAATTCATTATCCTTTTCTCATTTCTATTATATTCTTATCATGGATATGTACATTCTCTTTGTATTTATTCTTCTTTTATCTATATTATATTGACTTTATCTATCCTTTTATTTATACACCTTCTCTATTATTATATCAATTCATATCATTTCTCTAGTTATTTTTCTATCATTTATTATTCATCTGACTTTTCTATCTTCCATCTATATCATATGAATATAACACTTATCATTTATCACCTATTACATGTTATATACTAATCAGATAACACTTATAACTGACTATAATAAACACTGATAATAAATTATACACATAAATAAAAATCACAAAAAGAAAAAGGAACAAAATATTTTGCATCAATAAAACAATGTTAATTATTTTTCCACCATTAGATGAAACGCTTTTTTATTAAACATTTCTAATTTCTGTAATAAAAATGCACCCATTATTTCATCGTTCTTTTCATCTTTTATTATCTCTTTTTGAATTACTACTTTTTATTTTTTTTCTTTTTATATTCTTAACTTTCTACTTTTATTCTTTTCATCTTCTTCTACTTCCTCTTTCACTTTTTTCTTTTATGCCCTTCTTTCTCTTCATTTTTCTCTTATTTGTGTTTTTTTTTTTCGTGGACGCCAATTACTTGTTTAAATATAATTATGAAAATATTCACTCAATTATAAAAAGAAAAATAGAAGAACAACTAATAAAAATGAGAATAAAGAATGAAGTTTGGCAGTCAAGAAAGGAAATATAAAGAGTTTAATAGAAAGAAATGAAAGAGAAACACAAAATAAAAGATACTTAGAAACATTTTATGATATTAAAAAAGATTATGATACTGTAAATAATAAATAGATAGAAATTACATTAAGACACTTTAAAATACCATTTCAAATAACACAATTAATAAAAAGTATGAGTGATTAAAAATAAAAATATGATATAAATATAAAGAAGAAATAAGAGTGGTAGTTTACAGGGTGACATACTATCTCCTCTCTTATTTATATTACAAATGAATATAATCTCCGATGTAATTGATAAAATAAATGAAAAATAAATGAAATATCACATGTATTATATATGGATGATCTTAAAATAACTAGTAAAACAAAAAAGGAATGGAAATAATACACCAGAAAATAATTGATAAAATTGAATCAATAGGAATGGAAATAAACATAAATAAATGTGGAGTATTAAAGAGAAGAAATATAAACATACCAGATAACAGTACACTATACAATTAGCACATGAAAAACATACATATAAATATTTAGGAGTTTATCAATTTATAAGAAATGATGATTCAGGATGTCTAAAGAAAATAATTAATAATATAAAAGAAGGATTAAAAGAACTAAATAAAGGAAATGATAGTAATAAGAAATATATTATAGAATAGATACAGAAATAATACCAAAATTAACATATAGTGGTTTTGTTGTTAAATAGTCAATTATGAAATTAAAAATAGATTAAATGATAAGAAAATGATTAAAAGAAGTATAATAGGAACGGGAAGTGTAGTAATAGATTATATGTAAATCAAAATAATATTAGAGATGGATTAGAATATAAGAGATGAATATGATATTAAATTAATAAGAATAATTATATGTTTCACATTAAAAAGAGGAGATAAAATAGGAAATTTGATAATATTGAATGAAAAGAATAGAATATTGAATAAGTTCTATAAATCAAGTTGAAAAAAGAATAATTAAAGAAGAAAAATAATAAAATATATAAAAAAATAAATTTCAAGAAGAATATATTAATAAATTGGAAACAAGAAAGTAATGAAATTTTAAAATTATTTGAAGATAAAATGACAAACTAAAATAAACAATTAAAGCATGAAAAACAATTAATATTATAATGAAGGCATATATTTATATGAAGAAAATGTAAGAAAATACAACAAATATTGGAATAATAAAAGCAATATGTACACATGAACCAAAATATAAAATGTGTAATAATTGTAATAAAATAACAACCATAAACCATATCATTCTCAATTGTATAATCACAAAAAAAATCACAGATGAATAAACATGATAAGATAAATATATATATGGAGGCTTTAAAGATTAAATATGAAATATATACAGATAAAGAAATAAAGAAGAGAATACAAAGAAATTAATAATAAGAAGAATTTAGAAAAAAATGAAAGAAGAAGAGAGATAAAATACTTATGGTTTGGAATCAAGAAATAATAAATAAAAACAAAGAAAATTTTCATAAAAGACCAGATATTTATGTAAGATATTTAAAGAAGAAAGAAGGAATGAACACAGATATGATAATAGTAAGAGATATGAAATTACATGAACATCTCAGAAAATTAGAAAGAATAATAAGAGTAATAATTATTCCAATCGTAATAACAGTAGGAGGATTGATAAATAAAGAAATAGTTAGATTATTAAGAAATGAATGAATTAAAATTCCATGTGAAATAATGGTAAAAGATATTGTAATATCAAATATGAAAGATCTTATGAGATACTGTGGTGAACATTGTGGAGAATATAGAGGTGTTGAAGAACCAGAAGAAGTAGACTCTTCTGAGAATGATGGATGGGAAGAAATTCTCAGGTGAACAACGTGTTAAAATTATTAAACCTTTTATTATTTCCTTATTTTTTTATTTAATTATTATTCATTTTATTTTATTTATTATCAATAATTTTTCTTGGAGATGCCGAAACATTACAGGAGGAACCACAAAAATTATAAAAAAATCAATAACAAAAGAAAGAGAAATCTATACCAACCAAGAAATATAAATGATAGAAGAAGGAGTGAAAATAGGTATTATCTATATGAACAGAAATACATTAATCATCACATTAATCATTACCATAATAATATCTATCACCATAACAATTATCATAACAGTTATAATAATAATGATATGAATCATTTCATTCATCACTTCATTCATTTTCATCATCATAAGTATTTTATCATTAATTCAAATAGAAACAACCAGTATTATAATACAAATAAATCACATAATAAAACACAACACAGTATAGACAATACCATAATAAAAGACAACAACAAATAAAAGAAATAATAGAAATACAAAACAAGAATATTTGAAAAGACTAATTGAAGAAGAAATTAAAATACTTACACCACAAGAAATAGAATAAATTAAGAACACTAAGATTAAAGAATATAATCAACAATAATGAGAATATGGTATTTACTTGCAAGAGAAAAAACAAAAATGATTAGAATAGAAGAAGAAACGATTAGTATGACAAATGAAGAAGATGACAAACAAATAAATCAAAAAGAAATACATGATAAATACTTAAATAAGAAATATACAAAGTTGAAAATGATGATGAAAATGAATTTGCTGAGGAGAAGAAGGAGCTCGCTGAGGAAGAGAGGCTAATAAAA